TCAATAATGCAACGGTACCCCAAATTCGCGACAAAACCTGAATATCGGTTGCTAGAATGTGCGAAAATTGCGTGATGCCGCAATTCAAGCACTTGTAGGACGCGCATTGTGGGACTATAAGGTAGACGTTGCTTGTCTGTCAGAAGATTGGCTCCCAGAGTCTGGAACGAGAGAAATCGAGGTCCCACAAGAGGATGTTGAGTACGTGCACCTTCACGGTGGTACGCAAACGAATACAGGACAGTATGGGCTGGCAATAGCCATGACAAAGCAGCGGCATAGCACTCTTAACATTCGAGCCTATCTCGGAGCCGATTGCCACAGCCCGCTTCAGAGGCAGTATGTCTGTGGTTACTGTATGTGCCCAAACATTTCAAGCGAAAGAAGCAGTCAAGGCTAAATTCTATGAACATCTTCGCGGTACGGTGGCGAGGATACCTCCTAAAGATTTGATTTGTCGCCGGTAGACTGGAATGCCAGAACTGGTCCATCTGATGAGATCACGGGGGCCGATTTTCCAACTCAGAAAATTTTCACTAACTGAGAAGTTAAAGTACGTGGTCAGAAAAATGTGACCTTCAAAAACACCGGACCAAGTTAGCTGGCTTCATAGAATCAGCTTCTAACTCAGGTAACTTTCACTAGCTCTGTTACCTAAAACATTTGGCCAACAGTGCTATTAGGAACAGTGCGTTTGTAATGGAAATTTAATCGTTTGAAGGCAAAGAAGCGATCGCTGGAACAAGATATTTATTGGCCTTGCTTAATCTTGTCTGTCGAAGTCAGACGTCTCATACGGCCATGATATCAAGTACCATATGCGCGAGGTTCTATAAAGCGACCTGAACATGGCTAGTTTCACAGTTTGGCAAGGTCTACTTTATAAAGGTCGGAGTGCAAATTTTTATAATGTTCATCGCTTTGAAACATCAAATATGTCCAGCAGTTGCTATATTGCCATAGTCTATCCAGACACCTTAACAACTCCTTTTACCTTTGTACGGTGCAAGCCAATTTGTGTGCATTCACAGTATTACACACATCCTCAAAGATGTTGCAAGGCATCGGTGAATAGAGCCCTCGGTTCTATTCGAACATTATCTACAGCAAATAAATAGGTTTTCGCGGAAACCAAACAGGCTACTGCAAGTAATTCGTCATTCTAATGAGAATCTGTGACATTACCTTTATGACGGACACTTGTTGTGGTATGTCTGGTTCAGTTTTTCCTTAAGGATCACGGTAATTATCCTACTATCTATCGGAGCCGTAATAACTGACCATGTTTGGACAACTGATGTACATTAGTGGGTTAATGTGAATTAACAATGGCCGTTATTACATTAGCTACTCTGGTTTCCACGACGCTTTCGTGTATAGGTTGTTATATTTTGCTAGGAAAAATAGACGATGTGAAGTTTGTAGAGTATTCGCAAAATGAGTCCTTCATTACAGTTAAAAATGCCAAAGCCGTAGGCAGTCTTCCAAAAAGCAAGAGAAAATCGTAGTAATACATTTAATTTACAATATGAAAATCACATGAAGTCCTGCGGGGTATCTTCTTATTACAATATTTTCATCCTGACACTGTCTCCTAAAAACCTGCGCTTTTTTTCATGAATCAAAAGTGCCAGCAGACCGTAGTCCTTCTACATCGTTCGCGGCACACCCTTCGTTAAAGTTGGCTGGACAATCGGAGATCCTGTTGGCCAAAGATTTTATGAACGAGTTCAACTGTCAACGAAAAGAGGAAACACGTCCATACAAGATGATCGAGGGTAAATCATCCCAATCCATTTAACCGCACAAGTCTTTCAGGAATTTTTCCAGAATATAAACACCACAGGATGGTCGAATTCGTTAGTGTGGTGCAAACTGCCTTCAAGTTGGCCAGCAAAGTCATCACCGATTGACGAAAACAAGCAGAACGGTATATGATAGGCCCGTAAAAATTTACTAACCAAGAAACTACGTTCATCAAACTGCGGTGGAATTAAAAGGGGATTTAGGGAGGAACAAGTGTGATGTACTCCGCACGACCGATATGGTGACTGTTTTTCGCGGGTATATTACAGCATAATGCCAGCACTGTGCCATTACAATGGCTAAGGTATGCTAGAATAGGGACACCAGTACGACGGCCCCACCAGCGTAGTAATGGTAAATCTGCGAATGTCTAAGAGA